ACTCCCAGGGAAATAGCTTTAAACCCTAACCCTCAAGTGACCCCTTAGGGTTTTTGAAACCTTTTTCAGATCACATCTGAAGTGTTTATCATGGTTCCTCTGGCTGATTAGGTGAGACTCAGATCTGCTTCAGAAAGGATAGGGAAGACGGGAATCCTTCATAGAAGAAACATTATGAGAGGGAAGCGTCGGTTGTCCAACTGACGAAAAAATATACTTTTAATTCTTGAAACAAACCAACCAGTCTACTTTGGGGTGGTACGAGGCAAAAGGTGACCAATTCGCAGTTAATAAGTTTATGTATCACGTACGTTACCCCAGTTAGCTAATATGCTAAGTCTAAAATCAGGCCTCATGGAAAGCTAGTTATGATACTGAACTGCAAGGCCAACACTAAGCTTAGATGCAACTGTTATGAGTGTATGTGCGGTGAAGTTCCCCCATGAGGGAATTATCAACAACCCCCTCAGCTGTATCCCTCTAATAAACACTAAATTTAAGTGTGAGCACGCATGTCTTACGATTAGTAATTACTCAGGTCGTGAACCACCCGTCTTAAATGTCATTCGGTCATGATAATAATAGTCAACTCGAGTAAAGAGTCATGCAGACACACAAGATCTCCACGGACAGTGTCCCAGTGTTGTTGTTCACAGTGAAGCTGAGAAAGTCGAAGAGCACAAGCCATCGCGCTATGTTTAGTTTCTTTGAGCATGCAATTGCTTGGATAATATTGGTCACAAATGCTAGGTGAAAATTACTTCATTCCACACCAGGAGTTAAAAGCAGTGCGAGCCTCATCATTCACTGTGGGCGGTAGCTTGGCGGTGGCGATTAGCCCCAAACACCGGTTAGTTAACATGAGCCATATGGTGAATGACGGTAAAAAGCACGCCATCTGTGGAGCGAACACCATACAAATTGATCACAGGACCGGCCGGAGAGCGTCTGAACAGCAGTGAGATGGCGGAACTGTTGGGCAGCCGACTTGGTGAGCAACCCAACCAAGTGGTACACCCACCATCAGCATCCAGTAATGCGACGAAGTCCCAGGACAGCGATGTAAAGCTGATGAACACAAGGATTTCGTCACACCAAGTGTTGCGAAACTTTCAACGCTGGGAGTAGGGAAACCATTGGTCTGTGACAGCATAAGACAGGTGGTCCTACGCGACTGTGCCGAAGTGCTAGGCCTACCCATATGCAACCAATTCACGCACTCGTTGGAGGTAAGTCAACTCATCAAAGAATGGAAACGCGCCATCCTTTCACCATTCTCCAAGGGAGGAGACCGAAGAAAATACAGACCAATAGTATTACTTCCCATACTTTCCAAGGTACTGGAAAGCTTGGTTGCAGATATTGTTTGGGACCACCTGAAAGGTAACCACATCGTTCATCCTACCCGACATGGCTTGAGAGCCGGACGGTCATGTGACACAAACTTGATGACCGCTTGGGATGACTGGGCCACTTGACGGGACAACTAGCGACCGGTCCGCGCTATCTTCTCGAACTTGGCCTAAGCTTTCGATAGCGTCCCATAGTGCATCATACCGGCTAAAGTGAACCACTGGTAGCATGGTTTACAGCATATCTAGGGGACAGAGAGTTCTGCACCAAAGTTTAACAGAATCCGATAAATCTAGAGTGCAAGAACAGGAGTTTCTGAAGGTGCTATCCTTGGGGCACTCCCATTTTACCATTCACAAATGACCCTCCCGTTAAAGTCTCCTCGTCTATCCCCCTGTTTGCCTACGACATCGAAATCTGGAAGACAAAAGGTGAGGAAGAAGATGCTGGGATACTTCAAAACGACCTGTTGCAGCTGGAGTCCTGGCCAGCTGCAAACGGTTTAAGCTTTAACCGAGAGAGATGTAAGGTGATGTACCTTCGTGCACCAGAGGCGATGAAAGTCAGCTACACTCTTAACAAGTGTGCTATCACTGAGATATCCACAGAGAAGGACCTAGGACTAAACGTTTCGGACACACTGGATATTACTGACAATTGTTAGAGAATGGCAGCAAAGGTGAACTCCATTTTGCGATTCTTAAGGAGGCAGCTTGGATCGTCAACCCCAGATTTATTCCTTATAGTGTTTAAAACCTTTGTTAGACCACACCTAGGAGCGTTCAACACGGTTTTCCCCCTCTACCCCGACTACTTAAGAGAGATACAAATGCTCTAGAGAGGTTACAGAGAACAGCAGCAAGGTCGGTTCTCTAACCAACGGGCAAAGCATGTGCTCAAGGCCTCGGACAACTCAACTTATTCACATCAGGCTGCCAAAGGAAACTACGTGACCTGATAACAGCCTACAAAATAATTCACCAAGTGGACCACCCAAATAGGCCAATGTGATCCACCCGAAACCAACAGTCCTGTGGGAACCCCACTTGCATGCCCCACATAGGACATTGGCGAGAGCGAGAACTAACTTCTTCTTCCGCAGAGTATGTGTCTTAGGCGACGTCCTGTAGAAGGATGTGGCCACAGGTACATCGGTCAACTCTTTCAAACGAATGCTGGATGAGTACGTGAACGCAAATGGCTCACCACGAGAACATTTGTCAGTGGCAACCGATGATATGCTCTTCCGTTCCAGTATTCCATGATCCTAGTATCTGCAATAAGACGAATCTCTTTCCCATATTGTTACCAGTAGCATTCATCATTCCATAAGTACTTCTCGCCCCTCTCTTTCTCATTCCCCACTCACTCTGTTTCTGGTGGTTTTTAGGTAACGCTCAATACTTACTTGCAGGTGCTTGCAAAAACAGGAATTGCAAACGCTTAATTGATCTTATCAGCGGCTCCGTTGCCTCCCCAAACCAGACCAGGCCACGATTTGCAAATAAAATGCCTTCAAATAGACAACCAGTGCCCCCAGAGCTATAAGCAGGAGAACACAGAGACTTCTGCGACCAACGAAGGGGTGCAACCGAACAGAAAAAACCGAGCCCCAAGACCTAGAAGTAAAAGCTCAAAGACTAAAAGTTTCTTCTGCTCGCACTGAATCGGAATCCACCAAAGACCTGGAACCGTTCGGTAGGACCTAGAAGCGAGCGCGAAGAAATCAATTGGTGTACATTAGCTTGTAAAATGATATTGGATATTGGATGTTGGAAAAGAAAGTCGTCAACCAGACCTTCTAGTCAGACTGACGACTGTCATACGTGTGCTCTCGCCGTAGCTGAAAGGGATGCTGCCTTTGAGTGTAACATCTGCAGTAAGTGGGTGCTTAGTCAGCGTGATGAAGACATACCAGACCAATACTACACCTTCATGGCGCACTACCCATGCACGTGGTCCGGGTACATCTGCCCACAGTGCCGTATAAGGCCACTGTTTTCTGCAAGCTCACTAAGGGAGGTCGTAAAAGACATCGAAGTGGCTACTGTGATGCCGGCACCTGCACAAACCACAACCTCAGGTCCAAGCGGCTAGTGTCAGCACCGTTCTCCGGACAGTCACACCGGTGAACAGTCTAAAAAGACCCAGACGACGACCAGGTACGTGACCAACTGTATTAGTCCCTAGCCCTGAAGTCACTTTAACGGCTATCCCCACTGCGCACTGGGAAAATGGGTGACACTAAAAAAGAAGGTGCACCCTTCCCATAAAAAGCCACCCACAGTGCACGAAAACAAAAAAGTTGATGACAGATAGAACTCCATCATCCTGTTTCACGTCCCGTGTGCCGTGATAGCCTTTTTGAGAACAGAGAATCTTTTGACAAACGGCAGTGGGGAACCGTATACGCATTACTAGGACTGGTCAGCTTAGAAGAAAAGCTATCCCGGCTCTACAAGGGCGAACACTCACCCCGGGGGAAACCTCCGCCGACGAGAGCGACCCTGATCCCGGCTAAGGAAGAGGAAAGATCCCTGTTTCTCTCGCACACATTAGTCATCAACAGGTCATCCAGCATTAGAGCCAGTCCAGGCCGTCCTTGGTCAGCAAGAAAAGTATCTCGCGGGACACCCTAATCGCTGAAACTAACAGCTATGGTTGTCCACGTCATACCGGAACTAGCAACCGGCACAGTGGTAGAAAAGTATGCGCACGACTTCCAGTAATGGCAGTGGTTATCAGCGAGGGCAGGGTTACATGGGATAGCGGCGGCGGTCTGCAGACTGCCACGTCCCTCACATTTGACGACGATAACATCACCCCGGTTGGTGGCTGTTAACTTCGGCTGTCAGGAACTTTTAACCACAGTACCGCAAACTTCGTACACATTAAAAGATAACTTCAGCGGGAACGTTCGCTTCTGTGAAAGCAGGCCCGGGCACTGCGGCAGCAACAATTGACAGCCCCGCCCACCACTGTCAACAGACACGATGTACAAACAAGCCGAGGCTCTATGATACCCCAGGAAACCACTGCGGGAAAAAACGTGATTGGGCCGGTTATACTGGAGCTGGCCGTCCTATAGCAAGTGTCGCCATTACGCACGACCCCCTTCAGTCTGCCAGCGCCGAGACACCCCATGCCGTTAAAAACATATCCAAGTGTCCTTACAGTAATGTGAGGGGCCTTAGAAGTAAGATGGGGAGATTAAGATCCCTCTTTTCCTGCCCTGCTCCAACGATCATAATCCTAACAGAAACTTGGTTATCCCTGGATATTAGTGATATCGAAACTAGTGTAGACAGTATGCGTTTGTTCGGGAGAGACAGGGAGTTTAAGGAAGGAGACGGAGTGGCGACGCTTATAAGTGATGACCTTAGACGTGAACGAACAACTGAAGCCCTACCTTCCGGGCTCCCAGACTCCATCTGATGTCAATTTAGGGTAAATCCAGCAATGTTCCTTCTTCCCTGCCGTTTCCTTTTTCCTAATGGCCTTTTTCTCTGTTTTTTCTTTTCTTTTTCGATTTGTTTTTCTTTGCACCTTCTCTCCCTTGATTTCTGTGCACATATTTTTAGTCTCCTTTTTACAATCAATCCAACCGGTTATCTGCTAGCATGACACTTGAGAAACCCAGCTGCACCACAGTCCTTGGGAGAAAAAACAAACGGACAACACTCCCTACAAATTTAAATAACACCCAACCGCACGTCGGGCTAACCAGAGCTACAGCGGTCGATTGGTTAAACCTACTGCATCGGAATCCATCAAATACCTGGAACTGTTCCGCAAGACCTAGAAGCCAGCGTGAAGAAATCAATTGGTTTACATTAGCTTGTGAAGAGATATTGGATAGTGGATTGTAAGTCGCGCTGAGGTGAAATGCTGCGTTGCAGTAGGGCTTTTCTTTTAGGTGCTGGTAAGTTGGCTTACTACGTGGCTAGAGTTTATTCGTTTGGACCATACATGCATTTATCGATGACGATAAGAAAGGTCAATATGTGAAACGATGAAATACCTTTAGTCGCTTGTATCTCCGGTATGTATAAAAGACTGTTCTCAGTCAGCATTCTTAAAGAGCGAAATGCATGACTTTGAGGCCAAATTCTATTTAATTACAGAGTAGTAGAATAGGGTCCTCAGAATCGCCCCTAGTTTGGTCTCGAACTGCGTTTTCCGCTCCTAATTTGATTCATATATAGTCTCACTCTTCTCATTGACTCAACCTTCAGACTGCCTAGTACTTTATTCCTTAACCTATATAATTTCACAAATCTGAGGTAAACGTTTCATTAATAGAATAGGGCAGAACTACTTGCTATGCTGTGTTTAAAGTGTTTTATGAGAAACCTTGGCGAGAATAACAACCGCTTTTGGTTGATAATGGAGCTAACTGCCACCACACAGCCAGGAAGACTACTGTCGCTACCTTTCATAAGTATATTTCTATCCCACCTATTAGCATCTCCCAGCCGACTTCATTCTTCTGTGTGTAGTGCTAATTATAAGTATTCATAACGTAAATCCCCATTTGTACATCTATACCAAAGTATGCAATCAAATGATTATTTTTTATTCGTGGATTCTTTAATGCTTGAATTTCCTGAAATGTTATGATACTATCAACCCATGTGTTCATACTAACTTGATAACAACGTGCTATATCATTGGATGCGAAGACTTCCAATTGTATATATTTCAATGGCAACATATTTCAGACTATTTTTACATCTCTATGTTTACTTCCATGTGTTTCAAAGTGGCCCAAGGTTTTAAAAAGTTTTCGGATGTGGAAGAGTAACAATAACTGGACAAAAAAACATTACGGAACTACACAGACAACAAAAAATGAGGAATTCATAAAAGAAGCAGTTAAGTGAAGATAGTCATTGGAATATCGACCACTTTATGAATAAAAGTAGTTTTTGAGATGTTACAATACGAAAATAAAGAACTGTGAAGGGATATGATTCTTCAAATTAGTCTTCCGCTCCACTTATACGAGAGCAGTTTATCTGTTGTAAATTGGATTCACTTATTAATTCATTTTTCAGTCATTGCGATTTGTATGTAGTAGACATATTTATGAGTTTAAACATATATATATAATGAGACCTTGTATTGCTGCTGTTCTCATCCAAGTTGTCACACCTCACATCAAGCTGAAAAGCTCTGAGATGAAAGATAGAGGGCTAGGAGAGATGGCAGCGGAAATTAGTAGGATGTTGAAGACAGAAAAGAAATAGATGCGACAATGATGAAATTCAGTATGATGGCCAAGATGAAGAAAATGTGCCACTGAGATCAATTCAAGCAAACAAAATCGATGTAAACCCTTGCACATAAGTGCATTAGTTTAAATTACATCATCATCATGATCATCATCATTATCAACATGGGACCAGGCATCACTGCGTAACGGTCCCACTTGCCACACCTCACGTCAGTTCATCAAGTAGAAAGGTAGTGGGGTGAAGGATGAAGATAAGTGAATTCAGTCAAAAGAAATATAAAGTACGAGAAGAAAGAAAGGAAAGAGGAGTGACAAAATAGTGAGATTCGGTATAGCGTTGTTAAGATGAGGATAATGTGTGTGGGAATACATCTGCTCCACTGACATCGGTTCTGAGCCATATCACCTAGAGTCAGTCTCCAACCACCACTGGTTCCTCTTGTCCCGTGGACCCCAACCACCTAGTCTGCATCGCCCCCCATACACGGCTCAAACCAACAGTCAACGATTTCATACATTGATGCCATGTTTTAGTCTGGCCACTTCGGGCCTTTTTCCAGCCTGGACCCACCTCAGCCAACATTGTGTGTCGAGGCAATCGGTGACTAGGCATACGTAGTAGGTGTCCCAACCATCTCAGTCGATGAAGGTTCACAACCTCGTCAACTGACTTACCTCCTCCCTAAACCTCTACACCTGACGTCTGCATTACTCACGTTGTGTGGTGACACCACGGAATACGTCCTATACTTACTAGGAAGGCAACGGTGGTCAAACACCTGAAGCCTTTTTATATCTTCCACTTTCAATGGCCATGTTTCACAGCTATACAGTAGAACAGACTGGACTGCTGTGCAGTACACGCCACCCTTTGTCTATTAGACAAGCGGATATCACGGTGGCGCCATAGGTGGCTGAAATTGGCAAAAGCCAATCAAGCCTTTTGTATCCGTGCAGAGATCTCATCGACAACTAACCCACCAGGGTTGATCCTACTTCCCAGGTAAGTGAAATGGTCAACACACTCAACCACTTCACTCTCTGTTGTTAGCCGCGGTACCGCTGAAGACCAGTGAGTCCTGGAGTGACAATTTGCATTTGGGTGGTGAAAATTGCATCCCAAACATTCTCAAATTCCCACTCAAAGTGTTCAGAAGACTCTGCATCTTGTCAGTGTCTTCACCTAACAGGATTGACTATGTCATCTGCATATTCTAGATCTAAAGAAAATTCACCTGTGATTGGGTCAACGTTTGTGTAATTAGGTGACGAGAGGGAAACCTCCATAAGAATATCTATGATAAAATTAAATAAGAATGGAGATAGTGGGCATCCTTGACGGACACCAGTTGATGAGTATAGTTCCCTGGACAACTCGCCATAGGCTCTAACATGCCCACAAGTGTTCGAGTAGAGAGCTTTCAATAAGGTGATGTACTTACTCGGCATGCCTTTCAGTGATAGACATTGCCATAAGACTTCTCGATCAACGGAGTCAAATGCCGCCTTCAGGTCGAGAAATACAGCTATTGTCGGGCGAGTTTAAATTACCATATTTCACGGTAGCAGGCAAAGAACAAGTGGATAGGGAAACACTGGTATCATAATAGACAACAGTGTATAGACGGGAAAAGAACTTGAAAATCATTGTCACTGAAAATATTCAAGCTTTAGAAGACGTCAAAGTGTAAACACAACTGCACCATTGTGACCGGCTTTCATCCGTATCACCAAGAGTCCTCAGCCACTGATTCATTTTGTCTCGGGGATCCCAAACAGGTACCTTATACCTCGGTTCACTGCTCAGACCCGTAGTCAGACCTCGTCGACTAGTGCCACGTCTTGGTTTGGCCACCCCGAGCATTCTTCAAAACTGGTTAAGTTCCCCCTATCACTAAACTTCAAGGTAGGTAGTGACTTAGCATGAGCATACGCAGCGTGTCTAAGCTATGTCAGTCGACTAAAGTTCACAACCTCATCAGTCGACCTACCTGTCTTGCCTATTACCCTTCTTCTGAATTGTCTTACTAACGCGATGATTCCGCCATATGTGAGCAATTCTACGGAGACATCCATGGTCGAAAACCTGTAACCACTTCATGCTTCTACTTCTAACGGCCATTTGTCAGCTGTATAACACGACAGAACAGACTGCAGTGCAGTATACTTGTCCAGTGCTAGATAGACATCTTGCCAGTTGATGTCAGATGATGCCAATTTGCAAATGCTTTCTGAATATGAGCAGGGATCCCGTCATCAACCAGCCTCTTTTTAGTTGATGCAACTCCTCACGTATGTGAGGTGGATGAGGCTTTCAACCACTTCACTCTCTTTCTTTAATCTGAAAGTAGATACAGACTGGTCCTAGAGCATCATCTTACATTTGACGGGTGCGAAACGCATTCCAAACGTACTGAGATTTGTGCTCAAGCTGTTCAGAAAACTCTACATTTTGTTAGCCTCTTCACCTAACAGGATAATATCGTCTGGATACTCCAAGTTAACTAAATGCCCCTCATGGAGTACATTAATCCCTTAGAAGTTAGAGGCACCTGAGGTTATGTCGTTTTGTACGTCTATAACGAAGTTGGACAGGAATGATGATAGTAGCCATGCCTGGTGAGCACTGGTTGTCGTCAATTCACATGGCGACTTTCCATAAACCCTTAAACGTTTGCATGGGTTCCAGTAGAGAGCCTTGATTAGCGTAGCGTACTTGCTTGGTACACGTTTCACAGTCAAACACTGCCACAACACCTCATGGTTGATAAGGTCGAATGCCGCCTTCAGGTCAAGAAGTATTGCAAGTGTCGGCCGCTGATAAGTATGGCTGTGGTCTTGGACCTGTCAGAGGGTGAAAATACGGTCGATGCACCCTCATCCAGGTATAAAACCTGCCTAGATTTCTCCAGCTTGCTGTTTTTGAGCTGTAGATAGGCGTCGGATAAATATAGAGCCTAGGATCTTGGACATGACATTAGTCAAACTGATTCGCCTATGGTTGTCTCAGGAAGAATTATTTCTCTTCTTACAGACTGAACCGATTAATGAAGTACACCAGTCTGATAGGAGCACCTCTGATTCCCACACACTACCTGGTACTTTCATTGCACTAATCAGCAATTTCCTACCTCCATTCTTTAAAACCTCAGGTAGCAAACTGTCATATCTTGTTGCTTTCCGTTGTTTTAGGGTGAATACTGCTTTCTCAGCCCCAAGTAGAGTTGGAGGACCGACATCTGCATCCCATTTAAGTTGAGACTGGATATTGGGCAATTGAAGCGTTGCTGAGGACCAGTAATCTGCATAACGTTCCAGCTGTCTTTCCTGGAAGGTTATTAGCGTCGCATCCTTTTCGTTGTTAGTCTCACTCACCATCCTTAGTAAGCCTAAATGATTGCCGGGTATTACCCAGTGCTTATGTCTTTCCCATCTTTCTCTGTTACCGCCCACGACTGCTCGCGATCATTGCGGAGACTCTTATTCAGTCTACTTTCACTCTTCATTGTGCTCAGAGCCAGATAGAATGAATTTCCTCGCATCAGTCAGTTCAGATGAGGTTGCAGAAATCCACTGACATTTGCTAACCTTTCGGGTGTCGGCTACCAACTATCTTTACTTCTGTTTCTATAGCAGACTTAATATCAAGTCAGATTTCTTTAGGACGAGGATTAATGTCGCTCAGA